AAAGTTAGAAATTATTCAATCTATGTAAGATTAGGAAACTTAATGCAAGAAGGATGTTCCCAAGGAGCTGATCTCCTTTGGAATGCTCTGTAATGGTTGTTGTCAAGTCTTTCTGACTTCGTGCATAATCATTACAAGAGGATCAATGCATATAAGTTTAGAATCTAACAGATTTCAGTAAATGACATGAATTTGGAATTCTTGCATTTACAATAAGGATTTGGGATTGTGAAATGAGTATCATTGGAATCATGTTCAATTGATCTACATCACAATGTAAGGATCATAGACAAACATAGTGTGCATACTTGGGTATGGCATAACTATTGTTTAGAAAAACAAAGTGTACATGCTAGGAGCATGGGACGACTGTTGTTTTTATTCAAGTCTTAAGTTGATTATTTGAAACATTGAATAATGTGTAATCAATATGGTGATAAATAAAAGGTGGTTTTATTTATATTCAAAAGGGTTCTGAGACCATATTAGATTCGATTATTATTGTGTTTCACTTTGCATGTTTTGACTTCCAAAATAGCTAGGTTATTCTTTTCGAATGACTAAGTTATTTAAACACTCCACAGTCGTTCATATGTTGGAAGTAGGTATGAATCAAGACTGTCATGAATCGGGTTTGTAGATGGCTAAATGGGTTTAGTCATGGCAATGGTTGCTACAACATTCATGAGTGCTCATAAGTTATGAGTATTGGAATAAACCCACGCTCACTTGTATCACTTCATGGAATTTATCTCGAGTGATCGTGAGACGGTAATATCATATAAATCTTCAAACCTAGAGATATGAGTTGTTACCTATGAGTTGGTTGTGCATTGATTGCACGTAAACGCATCAGTAACTTGATGTTATAAAACGTGCCTTTGTGTACAATTCAACAAGTAGTAGAACAAGCATATGAGTCGAAGTTTATCTGTTCCTTCTAGAAATAGAAGCGATATCTGGGCCCCTCGATGATTTTGTTGTGACCTATGTACCGGCCGGTCAGAACTGAATTGATGTGTTCGATTAAGTTCTTTGTCAAACAAATCGAAAATCGGGAAACAAACTGCTGGACAATAAGTACGACGTTGTTCCATGTATTTGTCCGGCTGATATCATGAGAACAGAGGATTATATGATCCCTTATCTAATGGACAAGTCATTGACAAGTCAGAGTTCATCTACAAGGTCAGAGTTCGACAGAAGCTTTTGAGAGCTACGATTGCCAGTTGGTTCCTGAAGTCATACGCAATAATAGTTTTAGACTTATCCAAGTGGGAGACTGTTGGATTAATGTCTAAGTCCATAACTATAATTGGTAAGACTTGACCCGACCCGGCATGGTCCATTTGGGTTGCATACCATCATGCACTTGGATAGACTATAATGAGAGAAATAAGACACTTATGGTTATTAATATATTATAAGTTCTAGTATATTAATAATAAGAATAATAAGATTATTTAATTAGTATTGATCAAGAATTAATCTAGGATTAATTAAGTGATCAAAAGAAGACTAATTAAATATATGGGTTGATTGTGTAAATCATCCATACTTATATAGTGGGCTAATGCTCCATGGATAATCAAGTTGGGCTAAAACCCATAGGATGGTCCATGGATGCTCCATGGTGTATTTGAACCCATGGATCCAAGGAAATGGAAAGCCATGACAATTAAGGATTTACCCTAATTGTAACACTATATAATGATATTATTCTTGACAAAAATCGGCCACTAGAATCACATTAGAAAGTGAAGAAGAGGGCTAGCCGATTTCATGAAGTGTAGAACTCTCTCAAGTTATTCTAAGTGTTTTGATGATTGTGATTCCATTTGAGGCTTCCACACTATTGGGGCTAGGCACTCAAGCTTCATGAAGACTTTCTACATCAAAGAGGTATGTATTCTATCTTGTTACACTCATTGTTTTGTATGCTAGATTAGTATAATACCTTGGATATTCTTATTTGCATGTATAATAGAGAAAATATAGATCCAAGGTATTTAGGGTTGCATGTACACTTAGGAGTGTTAGAATGCTCAAAACCCAACAGATATTTCTACCTAAATTAATACCTCTAATATTCCATAAAAGAATGAAGCAAACGTGGTGGATAATATCACTCATTAATCTTGCAGCATGTATGAGTAAAATTAGAGCTTATTTATCCTCCTCAGTTAATCCTGTCAATAGTGGACAAAGAAGAAAGATTTATATTAAAAAATAAGTTATATTGTAGTGAAAATGAAGGTAAAGTAAGAATACGACCTATGCAGTAAGTCAGATATGAGCATGAGCATAACGATTGAGCTTTTTTTTTAGACCCAAACTCCTTGCTTACACATTGCACTAGTACCTTTTGTATAAGTATGTCAAAAAGTTAACCATATTTCCCCTCTAAACTGTATGAAACATACTTAGGATCTTCTTTAGCAAGTACCTACTTATACTCCTCAATGGAGATATACTTAACAATAGAAACTTCTGATTCCTGAAAGAAAAAAAATGACCACATGCTTAGATTTTAATAACAACTTTATAAAGTTTTGGTTCCCAAATTAGAAAAAATGATCGGATTATCCATCACATCACCTTAAAAGTAAAATGCTCCAAAGGATTTGGGGATACTGATGTTATAAGGTAAACATCGTCAAATTCATTATTAATGTAACTTATTTATGTCTTACAAATCAAAGGCATTCATCAAAAACACTACCTTTACAAGTTTGATGTACAAGAGAAGGTGCCAAATTCAGATCAAATAAGTTGAAACCCATGTCATCATCACTCTATTCCTTTCATTCTTCTTGCCTTAATATCATTTACCAAAAATCCAAGTCACATAAAAATATATATTAATATACTTGACATCCTACAACTAATATATATCCATATAATGATCAATTAAGAAGTTTGCAATGAATGATTTGGTTTATATGCCATCTATATGTATGATTTAAAAACAGTTAAATTAAAAAATTAGCAACATGGTTTCAATTATTAGTAAATTACAACATCTTACTTTCAATCACTCGTTTAAATAAATGTGAAGAAATATCATAAAATGGTTTCTTTAACCTAGTAAAAATGGGCCCATCGTCAAATCATCAATTATTTTATATATTCTTTTAATCATCTATAAATAAAAAACACACTATTAAAGGGTTTCTAAGGTATCCGATGTTGCTCCCCCTCTATGAGCTTGAAGGTTCAAATCTCGCAGTGGACATAGGTGAAATTAAAAAGTAAAGTAGATTTATCTTTTTAAAATAATAATAATAAATAATAAATAAAAATAAACCCACTAAAAGTTTTTAAAATACACAATATTAAATATAATTATTATGAATATATATAATTATAAACTTTGAACGTAAAATAATTTATGTAGATATCTTTGTAAATTTAATAAATAAATTAAATGGTTAATATATGAATAGATTTATAAATCTACAATAAAGTTATTTAAAAACATGAGATCTAGTCATATAACCATACTCTAGAAGAAGGCATATAAATATTCATTATAATAGTACAATATATCAGTTAAAAATGGGCTACCAATTAAACATTAGATATGGAACAATAAGAGCTTTCTCAATTCACACAAAAATACACATCCCTCTAATAAACTTCTAATGCCAAGATAACTAAAGAAAACTTCCATTAGTTTTTGTTTCCTTTTACTTAATGAGAAAAGACCTAATCTAAACAAATATATAAGGTTGTTGACTTATTTCTTTTATACTTAATACATAAAGATTGTTAATATGTTTCATGGATTGAGACAGCTCATTCAGTCCAAAAAATAAATAGTATTTGTTACTACAATACTTGACGTGAGACAGATAGAATTCATCTATTCACCATTTTACGCATACAATTTGACTTTGCAAGGGATTAACAAACAAACAAACGATCATGTAATTTGTAAAATTTTATATAATTTATTAAATTACAACAATGAAAACATGTCAGATAGTCACATAAAGAAATCATTGATGTTTTTTTTTTTTTTCTAAAGCTGAGAAGAAAATTCCTCAAGTGGGGGCACATGGAAAGCAAAACCAGGGGTAAAGTCATGAGTGCCTCATCTCCACTTAATTTCTGGAAAACCATTCCAAGTGCATACCCTAAAGTTTTTGAAACCGAAACAGCCACAACGTTTTCCACCTGACAATACATGAAAACAGTTAATTTGGTTGGATGGAATGGAATCAAGCATTCCATTCCAGATTCCATCATACCAAAAACCATCTAATTGTTATTACTTGAATGTAACTTGCATACCTTTCTTTAACATTGCCACAAAATCTATAATGATCAGGAAACCGTTGTCCCCCTAGCAACTTGGAAGGAAAATTTTCCTTCCGTTTTCTTTAATTTCCTTGCATTATAAAACTCAGGAACACCAATTTTTTATATTTTCTTCTCACTTCCATCTATTTCCCTTCTTTTCATTCGTTAAGTTGAACTCGGGAACAGGATGTAAATTCAATCAAAACCTAAACATCAAAGTTCAAACCTTTTTCTCATTCCTAGTAAGGGAAATTAGACGGAACAAAATTACCTCATCAACCCTAACATTATAAATTTGAATAGTAGAATCATCCTTCTCTATATAGCATTGATATTTTCCCACTCACACATGAGATTTAACTTGAGCAATGAGCATATAAGACTTCGTTACTCACTTTTCCCAAAATGAAATGTTATAATCAATTATCTACAATTCTAGAGAACACTAATATTACAAATACAATTCAAAATATTTAAATCATATAAAATCTAGAAAACTTACATTTACAACTTATCTTAAAAACCGAAAGACATGCTTCAACTTAGACGATGCTTCTTGATTTCTTCTTCCAGTTCCATGCACCAGTAATGTCCCACATACATAGCTGTAATACACTCAAACATACAAATGTGGAATTATAAAAAAGCAGTAAAGGAAACTATTATCTTACAACAAGCAGAAAATTAAGTGTACATCATCTACAACTTGCCTGAGCATCAGCTCCGGATGAAACCAGTGAAGTCCATGAAAAGGAAAGCCCCGTAATTTGTTTCATGTGACCTCTGAGTTCTCTTTTGACCTAATAAAACCATCATGGATATGATAAGAAGATACACTTGCTACAAGACAATCTGATAAGTTGTAAAGGTTACCTGAAAAAACTCTAGGCTGTAAATTTGTATAACTGAATCTTCCCTTCCTATAGCAATGATGTTGTTGTCACGAGGATGGAAAGCCAAGCAGGTGGCTGCAGGCGGAGGGGGCATGAAACTTATCATAGTCTGAAGTTTAAAAAAATCGATCAACTATTTGAAATTGACACATTCCCTATTGATATTTTTAACTTTGAGCTCAAAAGATACATTACATGGAAAGTTGTCATTTGGAACATGGAGAGTTTCCTACCAGAGGGCAGACACTAAGAAGCCATCATGCTTTGGCAAAGCAATGCATGCTGCTGACTCTTCATCAGGTTTATTCCCACTTACGTCATTACACATGACAGCTCCCTTTGTTGGTTGCCAGACTTTTGGGGCGATAGATGCAGTTTGACTTAATCGTGTATAATTAAGGAGCAATCAAAAGTCATATTTAAATGTTGAAATATGTTAATCAGAAATGTTCATCAATTATTACTCCAACAAACCTTCCCAGATGGATTGCGTTTATATGTTTCCATTTCCAGACCTTATGAATGCCACTTGAAGAAAGTGCTAGTAAATCTAACCCAGAATTTGTATAGATCAACTGCACAACCTGAAGCAGCAGCCCATTTGTAGATTAAATAAAGTATCACCATACCTGGCAATAATTACTGATAAAGCTAGATTGACATAAATGGCAATGTTGGACTTTTTACCCATTTCAACGAATTTAATTGATTACTAATAGGGATACACCCCTTATGAACTTAACCTACTTTGCAATGATAATTAGTTGGGAAAATGACTTAAAAGCCCAACGAAGTTTCCAAACCATTCAAAAAACCACAATTATGTTTTGTCTGTTCAAAAAAACTCAACAAACTTAACTTTTTGTCTAAAAAGTCCAACAAAGTTCCAAACCGTTCAGAAAATTCCAATTTTGTTTTGTTTAACTTCGTTGGGTTTCTTTTGAACAGTCAAAACATGATTGGGGTATTTTAAACGTTTTGGAAACTTCGTTGGTCTAACAAGTCATTGTTCTGATACGGTAATAAGCCACGTCATCTGTTTCTCTTATTCGACTTTCAGGAAAGTGTAACTTAATTGGGCTTTTTAGACAAAATGTTAAGTTTGTTGGGTTTTTTTGAACAGACAAAACATGATTGAGGTTTTTTGAACGGTTTGAAAACTTCGTTGGGCTTTTAAGTCATTTTCCCATAATTAGCCAAACATGGCTATTTGAAACAAACCTTGTGGGAATCCATTGGCAAGCGTAGAGCTTTGATGTGAAAGGAATCAACTATATCAGGGAGCTCCCAGCTTTCTTTATTAGCCTGCAATGTACACATATATAGTCAATTGAAGTTATGGATCCAGTACTATTAATACAACTAATAATCAATTGCATTATGGTCTTATACCAATTATCACATAAGGAGAACAATGACCATTATGTTATATGTGAAGTTATCAATATGAAACACTTTATCAATTTAGTTGATGATTTCTTCATATAAATCAGCAAGCGGTTTTGCAATAATGCAAAATCAAAAACTATGGTCAATTCTTAAGAGATTGGCTAGTTAATTTTCTTTTGTAACATAAGAAATGTTATTATAAAACACCAACAAATTAAAAGATATAGCATGCATATATCATGTATCTAATACAAGAAACTATACCATTAGTTGAAGAAACAGCTTACATGCATACATACTATTTCAAAACCATATTCCCAAATTTCTGAAAATAATAATCTTATTATTAGTTGTTGGAAAAAAATTTAAACAGATAAATGTATTATTTTATACCACATTTCTATGTTGAACACATATTTTCTTGTTTTCATTTTTCTTTAAACTTAAAAAGTATTCTAGTAGTGAACCTTACAGCAGATGAAATACCTCACTTGAACTTTCTATTAGAGTAACACAATTAGATCAATATAATCAATAAAAAATATATTTAGTACATAACTTACTTGATATCCAAGAGCAGTATAAAGCATTCTCACAACATCATTTACTGATGGACATTCTTCACGGTCTCTCTTCAAGCATCGATAAGCTATTGTTATAAAAGCCCACAACGAATTTAGGGTTATTTCATCCCTTATATTACCAAAAATAATTGTATCTACTTTGTTTAGTTCGTAACATTCTCGTGCCAATCCTGGTAAAGGGCGATCATCCTTGTTGCTAATACACAACCTTCCACACAACACTTCAAACAACACCACACCTAATGAGTATACATCAGACTCTTTTGTTAAAAACCCGGTTTCCGCATATAGTGGATCACAATATCCAACCGTGCCTACAACTGAGGTGTAAAGAAATGTGAAGTTATTAGTGGGAGCAAATTTGGAAAGGCCAAAATCAGAGATTTTGGCGTTCCAATTTTCGTCTAATAGGATGTTGGAACTTTTAACATCACGGTGCAATACTCTAAGTTGGGTTTCAGAACCATGAAGGTATGCTAATCCACGAGCCATCCCAATGCATATCTTTAACCGTTGTGTCCAATTTAGATCATTGTTGTTGAGATGAAAGTCTAGACTTCTATTAGATAGGTACTCATACACAAGGATTTTCTCATTACTCTCATCACAAAATCCCAAAAGATGGACCAAGTTTTCATGTTTGTAAAGAGAAAGCATTGTGATTTCCTTCCAAAACTCTGGGTTTCCTTGCCCAAATGCACGGTCTAAGCGCTTAGAAACAACCATGGACTGCCCCTCAGAATGGAGGATTTCTCCCTTATACACCTTCCCAAATCCTCCTCTTCCGATACAATTCTCAAGAGCAAAGTTGTTGGTGGCGGATTTTATGGATTCTAACGTTATTTTGAGGTGTTCAACCTCTCTTATATTAGACATCGATTTGGAGATAAATAGGAAAGATAATCAACAGCTCCAAAGACAAGAGCTTGAAGTAGCTGATAATGGATCAATTTTATGGCTTACAAGGCAAGAAATATCTGAAACAAGTTTACAAGTAGAGGTCAATGATCTCTCACACACAATAGATCAAACACCAGTCAATGAGCAATTGCAACAGAAATTGTGCATGTGGAGCAATTTGAAACCATTACAATTCAAATCAACTTGGTGTGTGGTTTGACTTTTGCATTTGAGATATGACAACAAAAATTAGTCTGAACTTTTATGTAACAAGAAATATATCGGCTCCGCCTAGTCACGCCTTGTTGTTGCCGTTGTAGCGAAATTCGCCGTTGCCGCGTTGACTTAGAAAGAGAGACCATTCACTGAGAACGAAAGAAAGAGACCTGCTATAGAATTGACAGTTGTTGCCGTTTTATTTCTTCCTTTTTTTTTTTTGGGTTTTGACTTTTTTTGCTTTAACTTATTCTTATTATAATTTATACAAAATTTCACAAATGGTCCAAATGTTTTTCGGATTTCCTAATATAATCGTTATGAAACTTTCTTTTGCATGGATAGTCTATTTGGAACAAATATTGCACGTAAACAGTCTTTATCATGGATGTCCGTTAGATAGATCCGTTAAATTGAATTTTTTTTTGATAAGAGTCATTCTATCATTTTATGAAATTTGTCTAAGGACCAATTGTGAAATATTACAATGTTAGTCTATCATTTTCTTTTTACATTTTCGGCCCTCTTTATTACTTTTATTTTTTAACTCAAATTTCTTTAAAAAAAATCCTTATTTTTTTCACTACTTTGTTATTATATATTTTTTAAAAGTTAGAATTTTAGAAATTAATTGTTTTACATGAAATCTTTTTGTGAAATATATTTATTTTTACATGAAATGTAACATTTATATAAATAAAAATGAAAACTTATAAATTGTAATCATCACGAAAATATATATTATTTAAAATATAAATATTTTTGTTTTCTATTTTCCATCTAAAAAAACTGAAGTATAAAAACAACGTTTAATTACTTTTAAATTTTTACATGATGTAATTTTTAAAATTTATCTTCATTTATCTTCTACAAATATATTTATTTTTATAAAAAAAATATGATGTGTTTATTTAACAAATATGTAATTATAAAAATAATAGTATGATGCTACTTTATTTAAAAATATAAGTATGCAATTTTGAGTTAAAATAATTAACATATGAATAATAAAAAATTAATTCCGTTTAATTCATTTTATTTAATGTGTTTTGTAACGGATTTATTTTTATATTAATTTCGTTTAACTTATTTTATAAAAATATATAAAATATTTTCTTATCTTCCATTAAATAAAATGAATTAAATGAAATTAATATCATATATATTTTGAAATGTTTATGTCTAATTAAGAAATATATTCAAATTTTGATCAAACTAAACATTCTTTTTAATTAAAAATTAAAATTTTGTATCGAACCAATATAAAATTTACCGTCCATATATAATAAAATCAAAACCGAAATTTATTTTATCTTTAACTCAAAATATCATACTTATATTTTTATTTAATTAGCAGTATGCTATTATTTCTATAATAATATATTTTTTTAAATTAACACAGCATATATTCATAAAAATAAATATATTTGTATAACATAAATAAAGATAAATCTTAAAAATTAAATCATGTAAAAATTTAAAATTAATAAAATAATGGTTTTATAGTTTAAATTGTTTTAGATAAAAATAGAAACCGGAAATATTTAATTTTGCATTTTAGTTGAATATTTTAGATAATGTTTAGTCAACAAAAAATATTTATATATTAAATAAAATATATTTGCATGATGATTAAAATTTATAAGTTTTATTTTTTATTTATAAAAATATTACATTTCGTATAAAAGTAAATTTATTTCATAAAAATAAATATATTTCATAAAAAGATTTCATGTAAAACAATGTTGTAAAAAAAACTAATTTCTAAAATTCTAAGAGTAAATTACACGAATGGTCCCTATGGTTTGGGGTAATTTGCACGTTTGGTCCCTAACTTATTTTTTTAACTCGGAAGGTCCCTACTGTTTGTTTTTGTTACGCACTTGGTCCCTACTGTTTGTTTTTGTTACACGTTTGGTCCCTATCTTAGCTAAAAAGACTTGTATTTAAATAAGTAAAAATGGTAGGGTAGGTAAGATAGGGTGAAGAGTGTGAGATTGGGGGTGTGTTTATTTAAATAAATCAAAAAAATCAAGGGTAAAATAGTCTTTTTAGGTAAGTCAGGGACCAAGCGCGTAACAAAAACAAAAAGTAGGGACCTTCCGAGTTAAAAAAATAAGTTAGGGACTAAACATGTAAATTATCGTAAACCATAGGGACTATTCGTGTAATTTACTCAAATTCTAACTTTTAAAAAATATATAACAATAAAGCTATGAAAAAATTAAGAAAATTTTTTAAAAGAAATTTGAATTAAAAAATAAAAGTCAAAAGTAGAGCCAGAAATATAAAAAGAAAAAAAAATAGGAGACTAAATTTTAATATTTCATAAATGGTTCTTTTGTAAAATTTCACAAATGCTACTTAGTCAAGTTTCACATAATTGCAGAAATGACCTTTATCACAAAAAAAAAAAAAAAAATCAATTTAACAGATCCATCTGACGGACATCAACAATAAAGACTTTTTACATGCAAGATTTGCTTTAGTTGGACTATCATGCAAAATATATATATATATATATATATATATATATATATATATATATATATATATATATATATATATATATATATATATATATATATATATATATATATATAAAAGAACGATATTAGGGAAAACCCGAGAAACATTAGGACCCATTGTAATCTTTTAGTATTCTCTATTTTTGAAAAAGAATATTATTTCATCATGATTTTATATCAAGAAAAATGTTACAAAAGTCATTAAGTTTGTAATTTTTTTAACGGTTTTACTCCAACGTCATTGTTTTGTGTGAATCAAATTAAGAAGTTTTTTTTTCACTTTTTGCACTTATCAATATCACCTTCATTTTTAGTATGTCATTCTCTACTTAGGATCTGAGAAACTGAGAACAAAGGGGTTGGTTAGATCGACTCGAACTCTCCATACGACCCCATACCCATAATCAAGGCCAAAGCCATTACAAAAAAGTTGCATCCATTTTAGTGTATAGATTGTTGCATATTAAAATGTTGGAAGATAATATGTAAAATGTTGGAAGCCTTTAAATATCAATATTATTATTATTATTATTATTATTATTATTATTATTATTATTATTATTATTATTTGAAATCATCAACATCATTATTAATATTTTTATATAACATGTATAAATATATTTTGAAAGGCATAAATATGTTTTTAAATATATCAATATGTTTGTATATGGTTAAAAACATATTTATACATTAGGTAGATGTAAAAATATGTTTTTAAATATATAATATGTTTGTAAAGATATAAATATATTTTTAAAATGTATAAATATGTTTTAAATGTCTACATATGTTGATATACCTTTACGAGTGTACTTACACATTTAATATGTATGTATATGTTTACAAAGGCATAAATACTTTTTTTTTTGTATAAATATATTTTTAAAGGTATAAAAACATATTTATAACTTTAATATATATATATATATATATATATATATATATATATAGAGAGAGAGAGAGAGAGAGAGAGAAAGAAAGAAAGAAATAAAGAGAGAAAGTTATGTTCAAATGTTTAAACTAAGTATTGTGTTATTGTTTTAGATAAATCAAATCATTTAATAAATAAGATAAAGGTATTATAGTAATCTTGTTATTAGTTAATTATGGTAAAATAGATATATAATTGGATATTAGTTGTATTCCTAGATTCAAAACCCTAAATTGAAGCCAGTATTGTTTTTTCCTTCTTCACTTCTCAAATCTGATCGATACCTCCCAAAATTGCACCTCCTCTTCTTCGCGTCTCCTCCTTCCGGTCGATAGAAGCCAAATGATTGCAGCTCCCTTCTCTATTCTCCAATCGATCGATGAAATTAACAGCTCTTTAATCTTGTTGATTGATCAGGCGTAATGGTCTCCCTTTTCCTCCTCTATTTCTGATTCGAATAGAGGAGCCGGAGACGATGACTCTAAAATCTCTGGTAGATGGAAAGACGAAGGATAACCTATTTTCTCGACTTCAACATCTGATGCAACTCCTGGATCGATTTATCCCGTCCTACAGGTTGCGTAATAATTATATTATTTCTTCTCCTCCTCCATATGAATCATCGTTCACCATGACAGAAAACTTATTCTGCGAATGTTGAATCGTTCAGGTCTGACGAGGAATTACAGGATTGTGATGGTGGTTTTGTACCCGATTGTGAAACAGAGCATCTATATGTATTACGACATGACCGATGCCCTGAGTATTTTCATAGATCAGTTTAGAGAGATTGAGATTTCAGATTCCGTCAAGGTTTACGAGTTTTTGAGACGAGTAAGAAAGCAGTTCGACGAGCTTGACAACTTTTACGATTATTGCAAATCTATCGGCCTTGCAAAGACTCTCTTCAGCTGTTCTAAATGCCATTACTTCTTCTTATATGATGTGACAACCCGAAATTTATTTCGTCATTTTTAACCTCATCTCCCGTTAATAAAACCCGTTTTATTAATTGTCCGTTAACCTTTTGGACTAGGTTAATTAAATTGGGACTTATTATGACTTCGTAAGGGTTGAAACAAGTTAGAAACACCCTCAATAATTCCTTGAAAATTTTTAGTTTCAATCAAGTCAAAAATATGACCATTTAATCGGGTACGACCAAAAGCCCGGTTTAACGTCAGTATCGGGTAGATTTCCACCGAGCCACAAACTCAAACCCCTATATAAAGGTGAGTGGACTCCATTTGAGACTTTTCACTCTCTCTCTACAAGTTGTGTTCGATCCAAAAACCGCCCAT